GATTTGGCGGATTTAATTCTTATGAATCGTCTACCCAAAGCCTATTCTATCAGTTAAAAAAGATCCAATATTGCTTCAAGGCCTACGTTGAATTTAACCTGCAGGATTTAGTGTCCTTTTCTCGAGCTAGTTTCCCCGTAATTGCTTATCGCGTACTATGTCATCATTTACTATCCGGATATTATATGTTTGCGATCCACAGGTGTATACACAAGGATATTCTGTGGCAGCATTTTNGCATTTTTTGTATCAGGTCTTTTCAGGTTTCTGACTATGTTGGTGACAGAAAACGTGATCATCTTGACGACATATAGTACTGCTTCTGGTCACATTTATCTCCATTAATCTTCAAAGACATTGCATGCACCTTTGATTCAATATAGACTAGTGTTCTATGAATCCTTTTATGTTAATTAACCCTTTCTATTTATTTTCATACTCCGCGTATTCATTTGAAAAGCAGTTACTCATGAGTAGTTAAAATCCGTTGATAATTTTCCCTTTATGGTTATGAAGCTCGCAACTGATCGGGACCACTAGGTACGAATAGCCTGTTCTGTTTTCTTTATTGCAACTTTTACCATTTATGCAACCGGTTTGTTGTTTTGTTGCCGTATGCCCTGGGATTCCAGCATCGCTTGCCAAAAGTTTTTCACGGTGATCCTTCTGACTGAGTTTAATTTCCAATGTAGTTCATTAGAGGCCATGCTGAAAAAGTGATGACAAAAGTTTGATCTCTCTCTTTGAAAGAAGCAGGATGTTTCTTAGTTTGAGTGTGAGTTTAACGCGAATCTAAAAGACTCAATGGAATTAAGTTCTATTTATAATCTAATTTCGGAACATTTTTGTAGAACACTTGTCTGAAGTTTTCCTCGATGTATTGTTCTGTGTGCCGATTACTACAGCATTTAAGAATATATTCCGTCATGGCGCCACCCTGTTAGTGGCTGGTATATTTATTCTGTAGTGACCTAATCTTGGCCTAAGGCTGTGCCTGCTAGTTCATCTTTTTATAATGAAATTAAATAAATCCTTCATTTTTGGATTAGAAATCCCTCTAACTATATTGAACGTTTAAATCGGGTAGGAAGTCATTTTACTGTAGGCAAAAGAGATTAGATTTGTAACTACGACTTCATTCGAGTCTTTTTCCTCCGCACTGCTATCACTCTTTTAGCTTCAAAGTTCACTGTAACCTTACAATTTTTCTCCTATATGAGAGAACCAATATACGTATACCACTGGATGGTAAACAAGCACTGTGTTGTTGTTGCTGTGTTCTCCGAGCTGGAAGTGTCATTCGCAAAAGTTTCGTAACCAGGCTAGGCAACATCACCAGTGCAAAGCAAGCATTTTGCCAAACCGGCAACACTGATGATGGGAAAATGGGAATAAGGGTGCAAATCAGAACAGTGTCAATGAACACCTATTTTATTTGAAACGAAATCGAGTGCTGAAGATAAGAAAAATTCCTGAAGTTTACATAGAATAAATTATTCAGGTGGTAACGTTAGAGAATCAGAATGTTAAATTCAACCTCTACAAAATATCCATTTAACAAGTACTAAAATTGAAATTTCATTCCGACGCTTTTTCGACCACAGGACACCATCAAATTTTTGTGTTAATGAATCCCCCAACTTTTGAAATTGATATCGTAGGTCAAGCCAAAGGTCTCATGCCCCAACATAGTTTTAGGAAACTTAAATATTATTGGTCTTATTAGATCCTTTTTGTTGGTAAAAGCAAGGGTCAAGGTTAGTCTTGAAGTTCAAGAAATGGATCATATAAGTTTTATATAATTTAAGGCTGCTCCAATGAAATATTGAAAAGTTTGAATATTCCCATGATAGCATGGAAAAAACGAGTCGGTCAGTGAACAGTTGTAAAAGTAAAAAAAAGATTATGTTTGAAGAACTTGTTTGGTCTACCATAAAACCGAATTGATGGATAGGTCGGACTGTCTATAATTAGGGGCCTTGGAGAATAAGATTTACAGATCTTTTTCAGAGATTTAAAGATAGCTGCACGAATGAAAATGGAATGTTTGATAATTACTTTGTGTTAGTTAGAGCATAAAGGTGATAGTCTCCATTTTCTTTGGAATCTACAAGCTCATTTCAAGTGACTTGAAAACAAGGCGTCCCCGGTCAGCGCAATGTTTAACAATGCGCAGTTGAAGATAAGCTTAGATACTGCTGTTAATTGAATTGCCGTTTAAGACGAACTAAATTAAAGTCCCATCTCGAAATGCACTTCTAAAATATAAGTATAAGAAACCTTGCCGCAAGCTCTCCATTCCTTATTTTTCCATAATAATCTTTTGCATTTCTTTGATGCTTTAAACCAAATCTGGTGCATTGACTCTATTCAAAACTGCTATCTCTTCAATAACCTTGACACTGCAATCGTTGTATTCATCTTTAAACGCGGAAATCATTATAATCATTTATGAATTCCAATACTTAGTAGGGATATGTCTATTGATTCATTCAGTCACTGAATTTAAGAGGAATTGATTTTATTTAATCCTGCAGAATCCTAGCCATCAGTGCGTCACACTCTTAGAATCATTATCCGACATTCCCATCAGGGGACATTCACTCACGTTAGTGCTTCAAAAATGTCAACTGAAAGTAACCCTAGTGTCAATATTTTGCCGTCGGGAAATGCATTGCATGAAAATTTCTACCATCGGAAGACGTTTGTGTTCCAACTCAAGGGAGACTTGTTGGGATTTTGGCATGCCCCAAAGTTCAACACCAGTAGAAAACGCAAAAAGAAACAGCGGGATAAGGTCACAAAATTAGAGGGTTTTACACCTTTGACTGAACGAATTCCGCTTCATTTGATTGACTGTGGAGAAACCTTATGGGATAAGAATAACAACAACTTAAAGGTATTACCCAGGATACAATTTTTACTTCGATTTCAATAATTTTGAAAATTGGTATAAATAAAACTGAAATCAAATAGTGGTGAGATAAAGGTTAATAATCAAATTTCATCGCATTTATTCATTAGGGATCAAGTCTAATTGGCCGTTCCACGCATTTTTATTTAGAGATTATTTTAATAATGGATGAGAACGAATTTCGAATAGTTACCTTATTGTGTTAAAGTTTAGGAGTGCAAAGTGTAAAATCACCACTAGGGTACCTGGTTGTGGAGGGATAAACCGGAATGTGAGTTATTGGAAGGCTTTAAGAGACGGGGTCAGTTGATGTGAATGTTGATGTTTTTATTTTGCGCGTTTCTTTATTAGTTTATTTTCTCATTCCTAATATGTTATGAAATTCTTCACCCTTTTTTGTCCTCCGATGCAATTTCCAAGTGTCGAGCGAATTTGAGTTTTCACAAATAATAACCCTGCCCTGCCAAGACAGGTATAAGGTGTCTATCTTTTGGGTGTCATTTTGGTCGATTAGTAAGGAAGGAATAAATGGAAGGGTTCAAAGTTAGGTGCGGTTAAATTTTTATTGGCTGAGTAAAGAGTGACACTAATCAGAGCATATTTTATGGTACTGATGACCTGTGCCTTGGCTAACAGCGAACTAAGTGTTACTCGAAGAAATTCACAATTTAGGAATGCAGTCTTTTATTCACTACTTAATTTGAATCGTCAAATTTACTTGCTAGGATACGATGTTTCATCTGCGGAATCAAATGTGATCGTGTTGACGGGGGAAAACTTTACAACGTTTGCTGATCAAAATGAAGTTTTCATGTTTCTTTTTTATGTTGACTGGTAAGTTCTTTTCAGTTGACAAGATGCAGCACATGTATAATTTTGTGATTCGGTCTCGGAAGTAAAAGTTCCTCTTTTCAACACTGTTTATGATAGTACCACTCAATACTAGTTTAGTTCGTTATAAAACCAATCTATATGAAATGTAACTAAATTGATGCAAAGATGACGGTGAGAGGCAGTGAACTGAAACACATTCAGTGAATCTTTGGGAAAAACTCTTTCGCTATCAGTTATTCACTATTATGCGAGTGGAAAGACTTTAAGAGAGAACTTACTGAATTAATAAAATATACTGAATAAATAAAATCAAATAAAACAGTGATATGAATCATCTGATGACTTGAGTACAAGAGATACCAAAAGGCTATCATTTTTGACTCTAGAGTTCCGGTGAACTAACAAGTGTGGTATTATGCATTTGATGTTCATAAACACAAAAGTATTACAAAAGCGATATTATCAGCATCGCGGATTTTATTTTGCGCGTGAAACAGTTGATATTTTGAGATGATTTCCAGTAAATAACTAAGTCAAATAACAACACCAGATTCCTAGTGTTGTGAGGTGCTACTCTAATTTGTGAGTAGTGTTTTTGGTGTGTGTACCAAGGATCAATTGGTATGTTTTCACCGCATCTGAGAGTACATTAAAGGATTTATTGTTGCAACCACGGGAGGGGAAAAAGACTGTGACTGACACTAATTATTTCTCATGAAAAATATTCGGTTTCACTTCCTCTTCTTAGGTGCACTCATTGCAAGGAGATCATGCCGGAATACGAACTGGCAGCGACCATTTTGAAACAAGATGAAAAACCTGTACCACTGACCAAAATTGATGGAATGACGCAATCAGGCTTGGTTCACGAATATGATATCAAATCATTTCCACAAATACTTATTCGGAATCGAAATCGGGTTGTACAATTTAGAGATCATTTTTCTACCAGAAGTAAGTCAGTAATGAGAAAGGACTGTGACTGTCATACAGGAGTGTTCTTTTTGCAAGAACTAACCTATACCAGTACAGATGAAGCAATTTTGAATATTTAAAGTTGCTTCAATTAGAGATATCACCACGTAGCAGGAATGGAGAAGCAATTGGGTGTAATTAGTAGTGTTCAATTAATTTTTTTATTACACACCTATGTGTAATGTACAACAGACGGGGTGAACCCCATAGTCACGAGGACGTGCTGTTCAGTGGTGGAAACCGGCCTCGGGACTTGGAGTGGCGAACCACATAAGGCCCCGAGGGGTTGGGCGTGGTATTGAACCGGACGACAGCAGGGCTGCCTACCACCAAAGTCGGGTGGCAGTGGTGGGGCTCGAACTTCGGACCATAGGGGCCAAGGCACGCCGCTGCCAGCGATTAAACCACTGCACCACCGCCGCTCTAACGGACGATATGAATACAAGTAAACCTGCTTTTTGGTCTTGGTTGGTGTAGCTTGATGAATCAATGTGGAATATCAGTAGTGCAGAGGACTCATTGTAAATAAACACATGAGGTGTATGCGAAAACCAATGAGAAAACTAAATGTTTGTGGAACGCAAATTATTTCTGTTGTATTTAGCGAATCAAAGAAACTTTAGGCCTCGACATTTCGATAAACCTGCCTGATTGTGTTATGAGATCTTTTTACAAAGTTGTTTGGGGCCAGTTGGCAACCTTGGACGGTAACCGAAATGCAACAACCTAGAAAAGCATACGCCAGTATTTAATTTTACTGAAAATCTCAATACATATGTGCGGAATAGTATTTATGAATTTGTAAAAACATAATACTCATCTTAGAAAGTCCTTGTTTCTTTTGTTGAATCTAATTTCTGGAACACTCCGTTTGTACTCACGATCTCAACTGAATGAAGAACCTCTGGGGATTTTTGACCAGATAGATATGTCAAAACTTCGATGTCTAAAGTTTGTCTGATGAACTTAAGACTGTCCTGAATGTTAAACGAGAGAATATTTGCAAACAAAATATCAAGAAGTGTATGTTTAAACAAACAACTAATTGTTATTCTTGATGTCTTAATTCTCTGTAATTGTTTGAACTCCATTTCACTCTGTTTTGTATCCCATGTTATTGTTGTGTTGGTAAAGTGCTTGTTCATAAACCATCGATATATATATATATATATATATATATATGCACAAAGCTTATTTTGGGATTCTGGAGCGAAGGAGACGGATTATAATCTTCCGATGTGAAAGAATTTGTTGTTGGTGGCCTGCCTATACATTTTTCGCATCTAAATCAGATATATTCGATAATTATTTTTGTAAACACAGTGATTGAGCATTTTAACATTTCGTGATTTGTCATGGTTCCGGGAATCAACAAATAAAGAATGACATTTGTGGGGTTCTTGTGGTTGAAACCGAATTTGAGTGCACCCGTAATTTTGGTCCAGTTTCTGATATTTGAGTAGCTTTCTTTGGGGATAAGACCAATCGAAACCAGTTCTAAATAGCTTAGTTTGAATGTCAAAAATGAACCTCAGTTAAGTTGACTTATCTCATTGTAGAAACAGATAGTAGATGAGTAGCTTAAAAGGAAAAAAATCATCTCAGCTATATGGGTTGTTGAGTTAAGAATCCTTACTCAGAAAAATGCGTTTTTGGAAAAGATCCCAATGTTTGCATCCAGAGTTCTCATAAAATTACATTGTGTCAGCTCTCTTCAAGTCGATTTAAGCACTGCTGGCATAATTGTGATATTCCGCTAGTGATTTCAGAAACCGAACTATTTCGGATACATAGTAGTAATGGTCAGTTTGGTGGTTCGATACGTCAAGGTTAGATGTGTGTTGCAACTTCTATAGTGATATCAGAAAAATTATATATGATATGTAAATGGCACACTAAATGGATGGGGATCTAGATGTGAAGTACATCAATCAAGTTTCATCTATCGGTATCAGCTGACCATGGTTGCTCATTTTAAGGGCGATACATGCAGACGCGTACGGGTACGCGCAAGGCAAACGACCGAGCTTTGACATGGGATTTGGGGCCTGACTGACTGCGGCAAGTGGCAACACCATCCACTCATGCGCTTCAACAAAACGTTGAGAAACCAGTACTGAATAATGATTATCGATACATCAATATGGGGCTTGAACAGAACGCGAGTTTAGCAGCTAGCCGGGGTCGATATTTGAAATTATAGGGTGAAAACTTAAAATGATGCACAAACTTCTTGATTTGATATTCGGACAACCTGCTTAGCAAACATTATAGTAATCAACGAGGGAAGAAGGGAAAGCGGTGATACAGTTTGAATTCAACATTACTGGAGTTAACAGATGGACTGTGGTTGAAAAACCGTCTGTAACTAAAAAACCTAAACTTAAAAGAAAGGCTATTACTGATAGCTCTCAATTGGCCTCAGGCCTCTTGTTGAATGTTGTTCAGACACTTTCCGCATACAATACGATCGACAATAAAAAGACAGTTGTTTGTAATAATACTAAAATCGATAATAGAGCAATTGCATTCACTGACTTTTGGGTAACTTACCGAGTTGCACATGTATGTCTGAGTTGATTCCCATGTAATCGCTTCACAAGGTAGAAAAAATGTTTTTTATGTAATCCAGAGTCCTAAGAGAATTTATGATCTCATCTGGTTTTACAGTGACTGCCTTACCTCACTCAGAATTTGCTTAATCGGTTTCTGATCAAGCCAGTCTTACTGCAACTTACAATTTACTTGAAAAATAAAATCACAAAATTTGCTAGATGTTATATCACCAAAGAAGCCATAAGTGATGGTGACCTTATTGGAGAAAAAGATCTAGCAAGACCTGCAGATAAATTGCGACTCTTGCAATTTGAATTGTTAAACAATTTTCGTCGTGCAAAGTATCAAAGGTATTAGGTAACGAATAAAAGTCTGAAAGAAAAGTTTATGATTATCTCCTTTTGATTCCTTCCTTAATGAAATTCAGATTTGGATGAATGTTCAGTTGTTCGTCAAATATGGTAAGCCTAGTAAGTAACGGGACATCCGGTTGATTTAGCCAACCTTTGAAGCCTATTCACTTCGGTTATGAATTTATTATCAGGTGTACAAATTATTCGTATACTTAATTTGATTGGATTTGGGGCAAGAGATTCAACTTTTATGGGATGGGTCGTAAGTTTCAACCGTGGATCGATTGGTGGACATACACTAATGACAGGCTTTAATGAGAGATACTCGAATAAACTATATCCCAATATCTGTGTGACTGAAACAATCGAGGGTTTTGCCCAAGTATGAAGACTGAAGAACGAATTATTAGTCTTCAGTCTTAAGTCTTCAGTATTAAGGGCAGAGGGTAGGGTGCCCGTGTAAGCCTCATCACCACTCAGTCGAAGGTCCGATCACAAGTGTTCATTCCTCCACCGCCCCTTCAGGTGCTCGTTCGGAGGCCGTTTGAAAGCAGCGTCTGTCTTCTCCTTCACCACATACGCTGGAAGGGAATTCCAGAGTGTTGTTGACCTCCGCGAGAGTCGGTAGACTAACGGTAGACCAACTGACTGCAGTTTCCGCAACGTGAGAGAGTGCCTCCGCGTGTGGTCCTCTGTCCGTAAAGGGAAGTACTGTTGCAGCTCCGGGCCCATATCACCTCTCAGGAACTTCCTCAGATAAATGAAATCTCTCCTGAGGCGCCGACACGCAACTGTCAACAGACCAGTATCCTGTAGACGACCTTCATAGCTGGTCCCGCGTAGTCCACCAACGAGTCTAATGGCAGCACATTGTAGACACTCCAACTTAGCCAGTTCACCGGCCCTGCAGGAGTACGTTGCCGCACTACCATACTCAAGTCTTGGTCTGACATGGGAAGCGTACAGAAGTCTGAAACCGTCCATCGTGAGCCGATTGAAAGACCGCTGAATAGGTCCCAGAATGCTCCGTGCGCTAGTACAGACCCGATCGGTGTTTTTCGGGTCTTTAGTGATGACGTAACCATAACTCCCAGGTCTCGTTCGCACGATGTTCTGCGTAATGTGGTTCCCTGTAGACTACCTCTGAGTCAGCACGCCCAAAGTGCAGGTGAGCACACTTTGCGGTGTCGACTGGAAGAGCCCAGGTATCCGCCCACTGGGCCAGGTTGTTCAAATCCGCTTGAAGAGAACTTCGATCATTTGGATTCTCGATTGTACACCAGATTTTGATGTCATCCGCATACTTGAGGGATAGACTGCATAGTTGACTCGGCAGGTCGTTCACATAAAACACAAAGAGCAATGGACCAATAGCCGAGCCTTGGGGGACCCCATTGGGAGCGGAATACCAAGTAGAAAGCGATTTGCCAACACGGACGCAGGATTTCCGGTCAACGAGGAAGTCTCGCAACCAATTCAGCACGACCGCACCTACCCCTATGTTGGACAGCTTTCGCAGAATCCGGTCATGAGGCACCTTGTCGAAGGCCTTGCTGATTTCCAGGAAAATGATATCTGTTCCGCGTCATTTGGCCTTGTCCTCGGTTCAGCATTCACGGGCAAGTAGCAGGTTTGAGAAGCATGAGCGACCCGGCCGGAAACCGCGTTATTGGTGGCATAGGTGACCGTCTCACGCCAAATGCTGCCGAAGCAGTGCAAGGCAGTGTCAGTGTTCGGTGGATGTGCCAATGCACTGGCGTCTGTGGTGTACACTTAGGCATAATGTGATGCCAACATCTCCGCTTTGTTCTCATCTTTTTCGGCTAGTGCCCCGTGCTTTTCGAGAGTCGAGAGACCAGGTGTTGCTCTGATTCTTCGCCTGAGGTAGACATTAAATAGCTTTGGTGCCCGTACCGAATCTGCTACTACTCGTTACTCAAATCTGTTTCTCTTGCATTTTTTCAGTGTAGTACAATGATTCCGAATACATCGATATTCCCCATATCCTGCACCTCTTGCACGGTACCTGGACCAGGCTTTATTCCGCTGCCGGAGGCACGCCCGAAGTTC